ATGGGAGCAAGGACGAATATGAGGACACAGTTTGCAACCGCTCTGGTATAGAGAAGTATGACTGAGCAAAATGAAGCAGAATCGACCAGAGTGGATCCTGCCTTGCTGCGGCTGAGAGATGAAGCCCAATGGCTTGCTGTATCTTGGACATGGAGGTTCCAGACCAGAGGTTGGAGCTACATATAGCTACACGTGGCTCTGAAATATGTTGTAAGTTAAATGGAGAGACTCTCAGAGTACATCTCAAACACCCACAGAGCTCTGGTCTTTTCACTAGACATTCTGATAGAATGTAATGCCGCAAGTAGAGATGTAATTAGACATGGTCAAGCAAGAGAGAGAGAGAGAGGGAGATTAAGTTAAAGTCGAATCGGAACACGGGTACTAGACAAACAAACAAGTTGTAGATGATGCGCATCACACCACGATCATAACATTTGAGAAGTCTGGATCATCATATGATTTAAGTTCAGTCGAGAACAAAGGACTTCTTGCTCGCCTTCCCTCGCCCGTGCCCCTGAGTTAGCGCGGCTTGAAGGCTGCATTGGAAGTGGAATCCAATGATGGTGGAAACATCTCCTTCGAATAAGACGCCATAGGTCAAACATCCAAGCCCAGCACAGCTGGCATGACATGGACCCAAGTTCACTGATATTTTTGCCCCTGCCGATCAACTGAAGTATGCGTATCCATATCACCTTGCTGTCTGGAAGAATACAACCCACTCCTCAGGATTCATGGTGCTACCAGGGCAGCTCATCATCCTGGATTTTGTCTGGGAAGGACTTTGCATGAGATGTATCAGAAAGCAGTGTGCACAAACATACAATGCATGTTTCTGTAGAATGTAGACAATCACCCAAAGGTTGTTCACTGAACCTTAAAAAAGGCTTGCCTCAGAATGCATCACCAGTGCAAACATGCACAGAATGCACGGGCCAACTCCCCTCCCTGGTTCAACTGCCAGCTTCGTCCGTGCTCACGGTTCTACCGACGGCCCTGACCTGGGCAGGTCGGAGGTTGGGTGCACCTGCAGCATGAGGCCAAAATGCAAGCAAGCCGACCTGAAGCGAATTCGCGACGATTCCGGAGTTGGTCCCAAGCGGGAGATGAGCTAGCAGGACATAGGGCTTTGCCAAGCTGAATGCCATGAGTCATTGTGAGTCATGATTCATGATGAATGAGAAGTATATAGAAGTATATCTATAACCGTATGTCATGAGACAGAGAACTAGAGGAAACTACAAAGCTGTTGACAAACAGCAAACTAATTGAGAGGCCAAACTGATTGAGTGACGTGACCAGATCTGGACCGGAGGTCCACGATATCCCCGAAACGAAGCTGAGTTCTCTGCTCGGTGCGCTCCCGGTGGGCGTGGTGCCATGACAACCAGTACTGGCAAAGCAAAACAACCAGTACTGACAAGTGCGAGGGAAGGCTTTTGAATCCTGAGCAACCGAAAATGGTCAGTCCTCAGAGAGCGCCTTGAGGTTGTAGATCTGGCCGGCCGAGCAATTACAACTTAGGAATTCTAGTGCCACCGCACTCGGAAGATGAGGTGGTCAGGGTGAGCGATTGCATTCGCAGCCAAGGAGTTGCCTGGTCAAAGTAGGGTTTTAAGCAAAACAAAACATAACAAAACTATCTATATATATATATACATATATATATATATATTTGTGTACAAAAAGCGTGAAATGATATGTAATAGATTGTAATAGCATATCATTTGCTGTGGGTTAGTACTATAGTCTATAGTCAGTCCTTTTGCGGTCTTTGACCAATACCTGGGTCGTTGTCATCATCATCACCGTTGTGAACATCGTCAGCATCTTGTCAAAACCCCGCGCCTCTCGATCTTTTTGTAAGGTCTGCATTCCTGTTAGCCTGTTCCTATGATCTCCTATGCAGGTGCAATCAAATATTGACACAAACATAGCGACGAATCAAATGTTGACAAACATGGTGAGGAAGCCCGCTCCCAGCCATCTTCCATAGTCCACATCTCCGTCTGCGGCGACGTTTGCGATCTTGTACAGTGCTTGCCCGGAAAAGATAAACTCTTGTGCTGTTACAGGAATTATGTGGCAAAAACAATTGTAAATAATAAGCAGTGAACATCCAAAACCTTGAGTGAAAAGTGTAGGCTGAGTTCTGCTGTGCCTGCGTGAGGAAGTTGTTGTCTCGCGTGTCAGCGACCTGATCAAGCACAAGATCCGGGTGGACTGCAACTGGTGCTAAGCATGTCACTTCTTCAACAAGTGCAGTGCTTCAACTATCCCTAAGCAGCATACAGCAAAAATTCATGGTTTGACAAAAAGGCAACCACAAGAAAACCATGGATATGGGTCTGTATTCAAGCAGGGAGACCCCCTGGCTGTCTATTTTCCTTCTTCCAAAGGGTCATGTTTGGACGTTTCAAAATCTATGCCCATATCGAAATAATGGCGGGGAGTGAAGTCATTGCGTACTTCCACGGGAGCATTTTTTGCCTGAAACTTCTGCACTAGCAGTCTTGTGAAGGACTCCAACGAGGTTCTGGCTGAAACAGGTGAAGCCTGGTTGGTTCAAAAAGTGACATTCCGCTTTTGGGGAGAAGACTAAATAAGACTATGCTAGACGTGTTTTGTGGAACGATCTGGAGCACCAAGAGGTAAAACCCTGACTTCCGGACCAGAAAAGCCTTTGTTGTCGTCTTAGCTTTCATAGGATCGCCAATGACACTGTCACGTCCTAGCAGTACCTCCCTGTCTCTTTACTTTTCACCCTCTAATCCATGACTTCAATGGACACGTCACGTCACATCGGACGCTCCAACAGCGACCAAGGCATTGGCCGTGAAGGCCACCTGTGAGGCTAAGGAGAAGCGCGAGTACCTGTCGGCCACCCATTCGACCGACCCGGCCGATTGACATAAATGATTCAACATGACCCAGGAGATTATGAAGGTCTAGATTCTAAACTGATCCCACTTACTGCTAACCACTAATGTCATCTGGTGTCTATACCCTTCTGGCAGAAGAACACTTTCATAGGGTGTTTCTGGTTCCACCAGTCTTTAGTTGCCACCTCCTCCCTCAACCAGTACAGGACGATCATCCTCCACAACACCATCATCAATCTGGCAGAGCCGATCGACACTCGAGTGGATCTTCCTCTCCACAGCGGGCTCACCCCCCCAAGATCACAGAAGTCTTGAGCTGCAACGGTTGCGCCCCCGTCGCCAAAAAGACTTTCTTGCGACCTGCACCACTCGTGGCACCACTCGTGTGAAGCGTGTGACCAGCGGTGAATCAACCTGCAACTTTCTAATGGCGGGGGCACAAAGGTCAAAGGGTAAACCCTTCGACATGTCCGGATCATATCAGTTCATGTCAGTTCTATGTCTAGTTTACAGTAAATCAAGTCTGCCCAAGAATCGTGAGGTGCCCCACCATCATGCAGGTCTGTAAGCAAGACGTTGCTTCGGATGAGGAGCCGTCCATCCTCTCCGCACGAATGCGCACAGGATCCAGAACAAAGAATGGTCACACAAATTCGTGCTAGTTATCAAATCAGCATGGTTGCATGTACAAATCAGTTGCCCTGCTCAGGCTATGTTTTCCATGCATCTCTTTCCCTTCTTGCACTCCGTCCTGGTCCAAGGGCCCGCCCAGCGATGCGGAGCCCCCCTTCTCGTTGGAGAAGTCCAGTGGCAAGGCCACCGTGCCTGAAACTCCAGTCCAAGGCTGTAACCACCGAGGTGTCCATTGGTGAAGGTTCGCTCATGTTCAGATGTTCAGGACTTGAGAAAAAGCCTGAGGCTCTGAGAACCATGCTTCTTAACTTCTCATGTGTGAGTTTTGGGAGTAATTACTCGAAAATTGGGAAGCCTGGCTTGTCCAAAGAACAAAATGCCCAACAGGTACAGGAAGTGATTCCGAACATGCGCTTGGCCATCTCTGCCAAGCACATACCTGCCCATGAACATGCTCTAAAACATCAGGGAGAAACTTACAGGAAGCTCGAGCGCAGGCAGACAACACAAATCGAAGAACCAATGCGAATCTTCAAATGCGCTTGATTATTGATTGTTCTGGTCATCTGTGCAGTTCAAGCGGCCCATTGAGAAGCAAGTGGCGGTCTGCACGGCCGCCTCAGTTTTCTAGAAAAATGGCTCTTTCCCGAAGAGTAGATCCCAGGGTTTGAGATAAGTGAGGTTGCAAAGGGCGAGTGGAAATCATTTCTCCTGAGACGCTACTTGAGGCTCATGGATAGATCGTTGCACCTAAAACCTAGCAGCATGTTCTATATATAAATCAAATTAAAACATCCTCTTATAGGGAACAACATCGATATGCCAATACAACTAGCTCCCATATCATGCTCTCCTTCCTATTTGGTATGGCATTCATATCGAAAAGGCAGTGATTCAACCTCACCATCCAACAGACTCGTTTCCAACAGACTCATATCGACAGGTGTCACCTCATCTTGCATCGCAAGTTCATTTGAGCCGCTCTTCCCCTGACGAGTGTGGCCCAGAGTTCCATCCAAACGAACCACGGTCGGTGAGGATATTGAACTACCAGCAGTGCCAGAGGTGAAACCCTCCCGACGGGCGGCCCGAGGCTTCTGCACCAGACGTCCTATGACAGGGTTTTGACCACACACACTGTCCAAGAACAGAGCGCATACAAGGGGGTTGACAATTCCGTGCTAATTTGGTAATTTGGTAATGCTTCCATTCATGTCCAATCCAACAACCCTGCAAGTCACAAAAGACCCGGATGGCAGGGCACCACCAAGTAACAAGAAGCTCGCGGTGTACCATGCAATTGCTGATCCCCCCCATAGATTTGGCTACAGGTCAAAAGCGGGGTATCCGGTTTTGACCACAGAAGATGAACAGAATGGACTACCCGGGTTTTGACCCAAAGCCATTTGGATTCATAAGAGTCCCAGCATGTCGCCGCCCTTGCCATCTCGGTTCCTCCTTCTCCGTCCGTCTCACCCCTTTTTCACGATCTGCGAGGGTGACAAGCGATCAAGCGCTGGGCTTCCGGAAGTTCAGCCCAGCCTGGCCAAAGCGAACACCATTTCCAGGGGACGCATTTCACTAGGAGGGAACGCAAGCAAAGAAGGAAATGAAAGATTAGCCGAGTTCAAACATGTCCTTTCCCAAACAATGTTGTGTACCAAACAAACCTTCACAAGCATTCAGTTGGTGAGCTTACTGTAAGTTTCAGGTCGGATCCAAAAACACCGAGGCTCTTGCGTAGACTGCACGGTCGCCAAGCTCCTCCTCGATACGCAACAGCTGGTTGTACTTGGCATTCCTGAGCCAAAGCTCCCCACATGCCCCACATGAATGCGCCAAGCTTGCATTCTAGGCTCCAGCAAGTGCTATGAGAGCCCTGTTGGCACTTGACATGCGGCCCTAAGTCTCAGCATATGGCTGTGGGTCAAAACCGGGACACCCTGGTTGACCACCAAGAATGAACAGAATAGACTACCTGGGAGGTCAGCCTACCCTGGTTTGGGGCTCCGGGTTTTGACCTACAGCCATATGATTATGAGTAGGTAGTGACGGTGCTTCTCAGTCTCAGCGATGACACAAACGCAATTACTATGGAAATAAAGCAATCTGCTATAGTATGGAAGATGGAACAATAAGGCAGCCAAATGCTGGACCAAGGAGAGTAGTAAGGAAACAGCAACAAGAGCAGCAGCAGCAGCAGCAGCAGCAACAACAACAACAACAACAGCAGCAACTGCAACTGCAAAAGCTACAAAAACCACCAGAGCCACAACCACCCCAACCACAGTCAGCAGAACCACCAGAATCGCCACCATAATAGGAACCACTGCCGCCACCCGCCACCGCCACGACCACCACCACAACAACAACAACATACAACAACAATAACCGCACCCTCAACCACAACAACAACCCCGATGACGACCGACGACCACAACAACCGTGGAATCATCACTACAGTACACTGCGGAGAAAGGGGTCTGTGGTTCGAAGAGCGATGCACTTTTTGAATAAAGGCTCTCCACAAAGATTCTAGCTTGATGGGATCTTTACCTCCTTCTTTGACGAATCAATATGAGACCAGAATCAACTGTGCGCTTCCATCAGCGATGAACACCTTGTGCAGCCAAGCCACCTTTCTGATCGGCAGGGCGCGCCAGTCTTGATTTGCCCAGCTCTGAGGCCAACAGAGAGATCTGCGATGAACACCTCAGAACGTGGCACGCGGTGCAAAAGACTACGTCTCCGGTGCCTGGTCGTACCAGGCATGGCATGGGGCATTGAGGAGCCCGTCCACACTGGCGTGAAAGTGGTCCGCATCCACAGTTTGGAGCATCAATTGATGTTGTACATGCTAGCGTCTACTCTCCCACAACAAAACACAAACACGTCTTGCCACGAAATCCAATGATTCGCCAGGACTCATCCTCCGTCTCGCCAGATCGATGCGATACCATGACCTGAGTTGAGAAAACTTGAAGTGCTAAGGCTTGAAGTTGGGAGTCTTGGCAAAGCTCAATACATTGCCAGTCTTCATTTTGGGATGAGTCCAGCAGTAGTTACTTCAAGTCTACCATCGGCGTCCCGGTCTGGCGAGATAGGCCAAAATGTGGGGGCAATCCACGACTCCACGATGCTCATTCCATCATGCCGAGGAACGCCCCAACCTCTGTCTTGGCACATCTTACATGCCTCGATGGCCTCCGAGATGGAGCCGATTTGATTCACCTGCGGTCAAAGAAGCTAGGGCGTTCAGGGACGTTGGATAAGTTGAATCCCTCATGATCAACAGAAAGGAGATGAAAGGACCATTGAATCCAAAACGTACACTCCTGTGATTCTGCATCTGCTTGTTCGATCTTTGTGAATGTAAGCTGGTCTGTGCCTTCAGCAACAAAGCATTGCAGGCCTCAGCTAAATTAAAGGCTGCAGACACAGTACAGACATGCCCCATTGTTGAAGACCACCTTTGAATATGAGTGAACATATGTCATGTTCAGGAAGCTTGCAAATCGAACTAATTACTTGAAAAGTTCTGGACGACTATATCACTTTTAGGAGTGTCTAGTCTCAGAAACCTTACAAACCCTAGTTTGTCCTTTTCTGACTTGGATCTGGTTGCATGCGACCTCTCGCTGGTAACAAAAAAACTAATATGCATCCGCGTTGACCTAAATGCCTAAATGTTATTAGCTGAAGGTTGAGCACCTCTGCGTTCAAAAAATCCAACTCGACACACTTCATCCAAAGCCGATTTCGCTGTGCAAGTGTCGTCACCATCCTCAACGGCTTTGCCAATACGCTTGGGATTGGTCACCAGCAAATCGTCTCCCACGATCTGCACCTCACCGGAGAGGCGATTGAAGCAATTAAGGCCTTAAGGCGACTGACTGAGGACCTGCTACACATGCGTCCCAACTGCATGGATCTCCATGGTAGGTTGACATGTCCCATAGTCTTATATAGTCCATAGGTCATGCGTTTCTTCTTGCAGGGTCTTCAAAATCACGTGTTCAATCGTTTTCACCCACACTCCAAAGGTCCCAAAAGTATCCAAAGGTTGCAAAGGTTTGGGAGGTGCCTTGTACCAAGCGCACCAAGCGCACCAAGCGCACCCAAGCCTATGTTGGCCTTCTCCCCACACGGTGGGAACCCGAGTGCACCTTGTCTCCCACCGCGGCCGTGAAGGGCCGATATCCATCCCAGTCGTCTTGGTCGAACGGATCTTCGATGGACACCATCGGGTACCTGATCGAAGAACTTACAGTCTTACACGACCGGCTGAATGGTTCTTACTTCTTTGCTTCTGAATGCTTCTTTGCTGAATTTGTTCTACAAGCCAAGCAGCACCCCAAGCATCACTCTCATTGACAATCATTCCCAACCATCCCAACAGCCAGAACCACAAAGCATCCCACGCTCACACTTCACCAATTCTATGCTTCCACCTGGCTCGATGGACCTCCTTTCGGCATCTTCTTCTGCGCCGAAGCACTTTTCTGTCCACCCTTTGAAGTAGTCAGCGAGCTCAGTGGTGTTCATCAACTTCTGCCTCAGTAGCTTCTTGCTACTACTAGTAATGCCATCAACTTCTGCCTCAAAACCGTCACAGGGTTCCCATCCCTTCGCATCTGCAATCCGCCCAGCTCAAAGTGGGGTGTTTCTTCTGGTTCGACCAAACTGCAGACATTCTCAAAACGAACAGAACCTAGATCCTGTGCGACATCCCAATTCGCCAGCAGGAAACCCACTCAAAGAGAGGAGTGGAGGGTCTGATCTTCTTTCATAAGAAGCCTGTTGCAGTTGAAGGAAGTAGTGATGTAGTGTTCAGTCTGGAGCTGAGACCAAAACCCCTTTTTGGCCGGGTCCTTCCAGTAGAGGTCGTACTTCTTCTCAGCCGCCTCGACGACCATGTGGCTAAATAGACTATAATATGTAATATATATATATAACATTATATATATAACAAAAATATTACGTAATGTGTAGCATGTTTATACCTATAAAATGTAGTGGTTATATAATATCATATCATGTTATACTTTACTGTATTATACTGTCTTATAGTTATATACTGTATTAGATTGTTTTATATTTTTTTTTATTGTACAAATGAAATGCCACTGTGCACGTTAAGGAAAATATTACCCTAGATCGTACGTCGCATCACTTCACGATGTGTCATATTCTTCAAGAATCTTGTCAAAAATGACCTGCTTGGCTATGCCATTGGCCTGTGGGGATGCACAGTGATACCCCTAGCCAAATTGATAGGCCTCTCTTCAAAGCTCTTTCTCTGTTGGATTCATGCAAGCAGGTGGCATTGTAAAACTCCGATGCGGCCACATCCGTGCCAAGCTTGACTTTTGCAGCCTGAGACTGCAAGACGACTATGTCGGTTGCACTGGAATCTGCAGAGCATTCAAAACATCACCACCACCCTGGGATATGCTGGGAAACTTGGGCTGCCTCGCTTTTTCCCATCTTTTCCCCATGTACCAATGTTAGGACTCCAGGAATGTCTGGCCCCATTGCTCAATGCACCCTAAAGAATACCATCAGCCGCAACAAAGCTTGCAAAGGAGAACTATCCGCAAGTGTGCTAGCTCTAGGCTTGCATAATGATATTCCAAGTGCAATCTTCTCTTGCAAGTTCCTCTATTCCATGTACTCAACGCATCTCGACACCGACACCAATTTATCGCTGCCGTGCGGAAACCGAAAAGCCAAAAAAAAGAGACCCACGACACAGTGGCTCAGTGTCAAAGAGGAGATGTGCTGCCCATATCTATAATAGATTTATAGACATGGAAGCCCAAAAACTTGAAAATAAGACTGTTGTTTTTTTGTGTGACCACTGCCAGTGTGCAAGTCAATCATCATTGCCCATTCACGCCGCTGTATGTCTTTGGGAATTGATCATATTAGCAATCCACCCAAACAGCTATCGGTTGTCAAAATGATGTCAGCCCAGAAGCGTGGCCGGATTTTTCAATAGCTGCCATCAAGACCTCGGCTCAATGAAGGTCTTCTGCAATGGCACAGTCAATTTCATGGTATGAGGTAAATGGTCTGACCTTCACCAAACCCAATAGCCAGTGATACAACTTTCTTAATGTTGAAAAAGGTTTGCCTGCCGAAAATGCCTACAGCCTAAGATGCCTAGCACAAAGAAAGTTGCAAACGATTTTTGCAAACGAACTTGCCGCCACCACGCCTCTAGCGCCTCATCACTCTCCGTGACGTTGGGCGCAAAGCCGCCCTCATCTCCCACATTGGTGGCATCTTGGCCGTACTTCTCCTTTTAACTGGCAACTTCCCAGCTGAGCTCGGCAAAGAAGGAAAACGGGAAACAACTATGAGAAAACCCGCTATTGTTAAAGGAGGGAGCCGTGTTTATCTTGATGTCACTTTGCTCCTGGATGACCTTCTTGAGGTGGTGATACACCTGCAAGGGGATGGTGTTCAGAAGGAAGCAACATCACAAAGTGCCGTTCCTAACCTATGTTTAGAGAAACTACTCATCACACATTCGGAAGTTCAATAAATGTGGATCTTAGGTGGCCGCAATTGGGCATTCCAAGTCTTGAATTTCAGATGTTCTATCACTGGAATGGGATTCAATCGAAATGACTTATACCTAACATAAATATTGTATGTATATATATATATATAAAGACTCGCACCCTTTGTTTTTCACCCGCGCATGCAGTAGTGTGTCACAAAAATTAAAGTGATGTCAAAAGGTTGAGAAAGACTCCTGACACCATCTGTCACCGAACACTCACCAAGAGGCCCAGCGACCATCTTTCTTGCCAGACCAAAGAAAGATGGCCACCCCTCATTACCCCCCAAGCATCCTGCCAGACCAGGACACTTGGGCACAGGTAAGTTTAGTCTTTCTCTAGTTGACACGAAGAAATCAATTTCCTCCCCACACTGTCAAAAACCTCCCTTCCAATTCCCCCTTCCCTGCTTTAGCACGCGCCAGTGCCCTCGGTAACTGCGCAAGGTCATGCTGGTGAAACGTACGAAGGAACGGGGCCAAAGATTTTCGGGATAACTTGAGAGAAGCAAGCATTGCAAGTCCCTCATTGATGTAAAGGCGAGCCGTACGCGCGGCGGCCCACCTACCTAAGACAATGATCCGGTCTAGGGATCCGTGTCGGCCAAACCAACATGTCGCTCCCCCCCTGCGCAGACTGTATGGGCGGAACTCGAATTCTTCTAAGTTCAACGCCTTAACACACTCAGAAAATTTCTTTCTCCAGTGATGTGGCACAGGGGTAAGGGGGCAGCGTGAGGAGGAAGCATTTTTCCAGGCCCAAAGCCACTGGAGCGCCGCTGTCACCGAAATGGTAACACTTTCAGAGGCGCCTGCCCTTTTTCCAGACTTCGTGAGCCCCAAGGAAATCACTGCTGGCTTGTCGGGAGACGTCATCAGAATGTGATGGTTGCACAACCCTAATATCTCCCCCGTACGCAGTAACCCATAAAAACCCAGAAGTAAGCTTAAACCAAAGGCATATTCCTGGTGAAAGAGGCACCACCCCAACATAGCGAACAAGCACTCCTCCGGAAAAGGGGAAGCACGACTTGGGATCTCATTAACGCGCCACGTCTTCAGCAACCTCCAAGTGACTTGAAGCTGTCCTTTCAACCGTGGCTCCGTGTCCTGAAAGCCAGCAACGGTGTCGCTGGCCAAGGCTCGCCCCTCTCCCACACTCCACAAATGCTCCACATAATCTGCCAACATGTCATCAAAGGCCGAAAACTTCGTAGGGATGGTGAGGTTATTTGCTCGGGCATAGTCATAGAATTTCTGCTTGGCCTGGCCAAACTATAGCGTTTCCTGGTTTGAGGTTGAACGGTCAGTTCACGTAGTGTACCTAAAGCTTGTCGGTTCTTCGCTCTTTCTTTCTTGCTGTGGCCCTCCAAGTGCTGTTTTACTTTCCCCATTTCCGCGGAAAGGGCCGCCGGCTAGGCCGGTCGGCTGGGTTTTGAGCTGTATGCACATAACCCCAAATGGGGTGGAGATCCGCAGCAAGAATCAAAGAGTTGACACGCATCAACACATGCCTCAACTTCCTTGAGGAGCTTCGACCACGCGACAAGCTGTGCAGACAAACCAAACTGTCCGTTAAGTGCAGGAAACGCTTTCGGTGTCCACCTCGACGAATCACCAACCACCTCAACGTGGTGAGAATGGCACGCAGTTCAAGAACATTGATGCGTTCCCCGGAATGGCGCCACCGCCACCCCGTCACCTCTCGCCAGCGCCACAACTTGGCTGGCACACTCGACCGCAAGCGATGGAATTTCACCTGCGGCTCACTAACTGCTGTCACCATGAGGTCCTCCCCTTTCATGGACACCAGACCAAGCAGCTTCAACAGCAAAGGTTTCTCCAGGGATTCCACCAGAGTCCTGTTCGACATGAGAGGCGGCCTCAAAAGGATACCTTGCAATGTTCCGCTGCGCCAGGCGTGAGGTAGTCCACGATCTCCTGGAGCGTGCGCCTTCGACAAAAGCCCAACGGCCCCAGCAACTGCTCCGTCAACCGGGTGTCCTCCCACACTACACTGCCCTGCTGTGCCTTCGGGAGACACGGCCTGGTATACCCCACCGGGATGCACATGATGGCTTCCCTCTCTTGTGCATTCGGCCTACGCGAAACACCTTTTTTCGTCCAAAGTTGGTTGCGGTCTCGATATTGATACGGTGGGAAGCGATGTCGGTCATCAACCCAGTAGGCAACGTGTGTCCCTCCGTGACAAACCAACCCTGCTCCAAGAATGCCTGGCTGTCCACCTTCGCAGTCAACGCCACCGACCCACAACCTGTCCATGCCTGGTCGTCACGAACGGGAGGGGACATGGCCATGCACTCCCTCCCCCTCGCACAAGTCCCAGTCCAACCAGTACAACCGCGGACGATGACACAAACTAATACCACAGGAGTCTACCTTAAAGGGGAGCGTCTCCACGCAACCTCGGACATCGATGCCACGGATTCCATCAACAGCCAAACCTGAGCCCAGGGGAAATGCACCCGAAACAACTCCTTGATGCGCAGCACTTCCTGGTAGAGCCTCAAGGCACCTTTCTTTGAAGCATTGAGCCCACTCACTCCCTGACAGGGGGGTCCTGCTCCAATGAGTACCAGAGCCACCGATGGGAACTGCATTGCAAGCTTCTTCACCAATTCTGCGTCGACAGTCTTGACATCATCGTGAAAGATAGTGTCGGGAAGAACGCCTCGACGACTCGACGGCCCGTGGGCTCCTTTTCAACGCTCAAGTGACCGGCGACTCCTACACCCAAGCTGTCAACCGCCAACCTCAATGCCCCGAGGCCATCGAACAGCCCCACTGTGAGCACCTGCAATGTCTCTCCCTCTTGCGGGAGATCCCCCCGGCTTTCCGTGTTCAAGGCAGCTACTCCATAGCCTGTGAGACCTTCACTTACGCAAACTCCGCCTCCGCCAGTTGATGCATCACTGCGCGTAACATGCTCCAGGAAAGGGCACCGGAAATCAATTTGCGCTAGCGGGCTCAACAGTGTAAAGGACAACAGCTCTCGTTGCACTCCCACCGGGACCGGGAGCCGTACCACAGGTGGTAGGGTTTTCAACTTCTCCATGAATCGCCACACCTCGTTCAAGAAGCCAAGAAGCTGTCGCCGGAACATGGCAAAGTACACAAAACCTCCACAAACCACCTGTAACTCCTTCAGCGTGCACGTGCCCCGTTCAACCAGCATCACGGCCAACCTGCAGTACAAACAAACCTTGCTTGCCTTGGGTTGAGCGAAACCCAGCTCACCGTCCACGATGGCCCCCTGGATCTCCGCCAGTGGCGACCGCGCAACAGCTTTCTTAGGGTGCCTCGGAATACCTTGCGCTAAGTATTGCTCTCTGAGGTTCTCGACAACGGGTGCGACTTGGTCCTTCAACGTTTCAGCAGTGGCTGGATCGAAACGCTCCACCAGATCAAAATTGTCTAAGTAGACGCGATACTGAGCCTTTGCGTTGCTGCTGACACGATCCTTCCGCATTTCACACTCTCCTCCTATGCCGCCTGTTGCTCTCTGGCTCCAACTTACTATGTTTCGGTGTACGTGCTGTGCAATCGACACGCTGTTGATAAACCCCATAGGTAACACGCACGAAGTGAGCACGCACGGCCGGTCACGCCACTCTTCGGGACCAGTGAGGGAGGTACACGACGATTGAACCCCAAGAATCTCTTCCATGAACTTGGCACCTTGAATAAATAAAAGAAACACAGCACATCTTCAGAACTTATCAAGGCCATCTCACCATCATCCAAAAGAAATGACCCAAAGCTACAGATGTTCGGGAGAGTCACCACGTCTCCCACCAGTGGCTCACACAATTTATTCAATGGTATAAGGTTCATGATTAGTCTCTGACTCTCAAGGTTCCCAACGAATTCTCCCTTACCAACCCCAAACATCCCGTTCAGGAGAGGCACCTGACCAATGTGGAAGAGCTGGTCCATGGGGACGACTTCGCAGATCTTGTTGATCAAGCCCTCACAGATGCTCGGCCAATCGTCCCCGACCATCACCCGAGGGGCTCGTGGGCATGAGAGGTTGGAGGTGTCAATCAAATGGTCCTCAAAGTGTTCCAAGTAGTGCAGGGTCCCCTGAGTACAAAAATCCCTCAACTATATAGGCATCCTACCTCATCAGGCAACGAACTCCGGACCCCTTCCCAAGTCAACGTCTGCGCAACACGCACCTCCTCACCATCGTATGTCACGCCACGTTTCGCGAAGAAATCCCCGAAATCAAGAGGGTCAAACTTCTCACCCCAAACCTTGAACCGCTCGCAGATCTTCCCCAAGTTTTCCACGATCCCACAAGGCTCTCTCTTCGGCTGAGGTCCTTCTCCTCTGCCACAGGCAACAAAGTTTAGGCCAAACACCATGTCTGCACTTGCTGTCTCTGACCTAGTCCCTGGCTGCAGGGGTAGAGGTAAAGGGAAGATGTCATCGGACGTGGAATAAGAGTCCTCTACCGTGTTCTGCATGCGCTCCGACCCTAGCTTGCCAAGACTAGACCTGGCCAAGGACATAAGTTGCTTGAAGTTGTTGGGCGAAACTCGCTTTTGTACAACCGACTGCAACTCAACGCGGCTCCCCTGGTCCAAACGGGAGCCATCTGCATGATCGGCTGCAATGCCGTGGTCTTCTGCCTTTTGGGCCGGTTAATCCATCCAAAGCTGATCCTCGGCCCATGCCTAAATCACAGCTTCTCACCACTCCCTCAGCACGGGAGTTCACAACTGAATTCAAAGACAATGCTTCTGTAGTTCGTGGTGCCGTGGGCCTAGCTACGTCTGCCAACGCTGCTCGACCATCAAAAGGAACTCCGTCCCAGTGAAACTGCTTTTGCCCCACACGCTCCTCATATAGCCCCGCGCTGTCTTGCCCAATGCTCGGGAGATCACCATGCCAAACGCAGGCTTTTTCCCCTCTGTTCAACCGACTTGCCACCATCTTGCCCAATGCTCGGGAGATCACCTGCCAAACGCAGGCCTTCTCCCCTCTGTTCAACCGACTTGTCACCAACGACCTCCTGCATCACTCTTTGTCGCCCTTCTCCTCCTTCTTTTTTCCTTCGCCTTTTCGATGCCCTTTGTCCTTGCTCTTGCCGTCGCCCTTTCCCTTCTCTCGCTTCCCTTTTTCTTTTCCTTTGCCACCTCTGTAGAAATCTCGCTCCTCCCAAGACCATCTGCCGGTGTTTCTCTTCACGACGCGGTCCTCGATCTGCATCTCCTTGCCTGCAGCGCCCGCCTCCACTAGCGACGGCCGGTCCGGGCCAACCAACTCCAGCCTCCTTGCAATGTCGATGGCGGTGCCGCGTGACATGGCTTCGAGGGCTTTTAGACGTTGTCCTGCCACGTCCAATGCACTCGCGATTCGACCTCGCAAGCACAGGTCGATGATTGTCGCAAGGTGGAGCGACTCCCGCGCCAGAGCGACGCCCATCTGTTGTTGTAGATGAGCCCGAAAGTACTGAGTCGCGATAGGCGCCACCGCCCCCTCTTCCACCGGGCGGTTGATGTTCCCATGAGCTAGTTCTAACTGATCCCGTTTGAGTTCGAGTTCAAGTTCGAGTTCGATGCGTGAGATTGCGTGGATCGAGCGCGAGAGGGGGGTGGACCAGTTCGAGTTCGAGTTTGAGATCGAGTTCGGATCGACAACACAATTATCGAGCCGGGGGGGGTGGACCGGTTCGAGTTCGAGTTCGAGTTCGGATCGACAACACAATTATCGAGCCGGGGGGGGTGGACCGGTTCGAGTTCGAGTTCGAGTTCGGATCGACA